CATAATGATTAATCAATTTTTGGCTTTTCCACTGATATCTCAAGTACTAATCACATTTCAATAAAACTTGGTATATAGATGTCATGGGACACTGCATAGACCTGATAGTTTTTAGGGTAATATCAGTACATATTAATTACTAATTTGCATAATTAATTAATTTTTAGCTTTTGATATTTCAAGTAGTAATCATCTTATTTCAATGAATTTTGGTACATAGATGTCATAGGACATTGCACAGACCTGATAGTTTTTACCTAATTTACATAATTAATTTTCAGCTTTTGATATTTCAAGTAGTAATCATCACATTTCAATGAAACTTGGTACATAGTTACTTAAGGACTGTGCAGAGACCTGATTAGTTTTGGGGTAAATATTTGTGCATAATTAGTTAATTTTCAGCTTTTTGCCTGATAACTCAAGTACTGATCATTATATTTCAATGAGACTTGCTACATCTAGGACTATGCAGAGACCTGATTAGTTTTAGGGTAAATAATTGTGGATATTAATAACCTAATTTGCATAATTAGTTAATTTTTTCCATGAATGTTCCACTGATTATAAGGAACCACTAATTGGATTTTAATGAAACTTTTAAAGAGTATTCATCATCACATCATCACAATGAACCTAGGACTATGCAGAGACCTAATTAGTTTTTGGTAAATATTTATGCTTATTAATCACCTAATTAACATAATTAGTTAACACTATCTCAATTACTGATTATCACATTTGAATAAAATTTGTTACATAAATGCTCTAGGACAATTGACAGGCCCGATTAATCTTGGGTTGAAATTTGTTTATATTAATTCTCTAATAATAATTCGTACCGGGGGGGTTGGGGGGGGGGGGTAGTTTTTTTGTTCTAATCACATTTCAATGAAACTTGGTACATAGATATTACATTACGCAAGCCTTATTAGTTTTACACTCAAATCTGTTCATATCAGTTACCTGATTTACATAATTAGTTTTCAGCTTTTCCATCAATATCTCATGGACAAGTAATTTTGAATTAATTTTTAATGTGTCTTCAATACTCTCAGCACATGGGAGTTCTTTCTAGACTTTCTTTGATTTTTAAGTCTTTTAACTCCAAACACAATATAAAAATTAAAAAACAACTTTTTTTATATTTTATTTGTCAACAATTTTAAATCAAGATCTGTTGGCAATGAAAAGTTGGTTTAAACTTAACAAATAAATTAAATGCGCAAACTTTGATGGGATGGTGGGAACAATGATTGGATTAAAAGTCTTAAACTTTTTCACCACCAGTTCCTTCTTTTCATCACAAATTCACAAAATAGTCCTGTTTATAGTGAAAATGTACTAAAATTTTATCTATTGGCTATAAAATTGAAGTTTATTTGCAGAAATATTGAAGAATATAAAAAAAAGTGCAGACAAATTTGAGTGATAAAGTCTGATAGCGAAAAGATTCATAAACTGTCAAACTTGGTTGTATATGAATTTGCTCTATGAACGGCAAATCTATTAATTTCTTTGGCAGCGATGAACTGACTTCAGATGCCAGGGAAGTAAGAGGTGAACTCTACTGTCTACGCTGCCATGACAAAATGGGAATTCCTATATGTGGTGCATGCCGTCGCCCGATTGAAGAACGAGTCGTACATGCACTCGGCAAGACCTGGCATGTTGAGGTAAGATAATTCGCTTTGTCTGTGTATGGTCACGGTCTGTTTGCTGAATGAAGACGCACTGCTATTGTCCATTACATTGTGCCATCT